CGCGCTGGGTGAGGGCAGCGCGGAGGAGCGGGCGGCAGGGCCGAGGAGCCCGGGCAGGTGCGGGGGCTGTTTTAACGGCGTTATGCGTTGGGTCCTGTTTATTTTTTAATTCTCGGAGGCAGATGAAGGAGACATAAGTTTTTGCTGTCTCCACGCACCGCTTTTGTTTTAAATCCTTCTCTGTGAAGAAGTCTAGGTGCAAGCACGCCCTTGATCTGTTTTCCTTTGACACTAACGTTTTTCCTACAGACCCGGCTGCCTGAGCATTGCCTTAGGCTATCTCGCTGTTTCTCTTCTTTTTGTGTCAGTATACTATTTCCCTTCTAGGTAAGTAATAGCTATAAAAGTTCTGCAGCAGTCTTCTTTTGGCTCGTAGTGTGAGCCTCCTAGTCTGTAGTGGTGCTCCTCAGGTCTCCGTGGGGGTGTGCAAAAGAAGGACATAAGTTGTAAATTTTGTCTGATAAGGGTGGGATTGTACTCTCCATTTTGTGTATCACCTGTATGAGTACATATGAGATGTCTTCCTTTCCTACGTGCCTCCTCGGGTTGTTTCTGTTATTCACATCAGACCTGTGATTGCTTTTGAGAGGCAGAAATAATGTATGATTCTTCTTGTGTTCATAGTTGTAATCATAAGCAAAGGAGAAATAACTGGATTTTCAGCATCAAGCCAATGTGATGGGACCAAGCAAGCCAGCTATGTCAGATGCTACGTTTGCATTCGCTACCCAGCTGTACAGGAATGAAGCAAAGGCTTTGCAAACACAGGTATTATTTGACTTCTGCAGCCACGCTGAGTTGGTTTTCATTTGTGATTGTTACAAAAAGGTCATTAGGACCCATGTCCTGAGATAGCCCACTAGTGAGTGTCAAATCTTCAGAGTTGCTTTTATGATGCTGTTATACATGATCTTGACACTGTCCTTTTGTAAGAGTGTAGATCAGAAACTACATCTGTAAATATTATTTATCTGCCTGTTGTGATTTAATCCTAGTAGGCAGCTGAGCACACAGCCATTCATTCGCTCTCCCCCAGTGGGATGGGGAGGAGAACTGGAAGCGTGAAATGTGTGAAAAATCATGGGTTGAGATAAAGACAGTTGACTAGGTAAAGCAAAAGCTGTGCGTGCAAGCAAAGCAAGATAAGAAATTAATTCACTACATCACATCAGCAGGCAGGTGTTTAGCCATTTCCACAGCCTCATCATGTGTAATGGTGACTTGGGAAGATGAACACCATCACTCCAAAGGTCCCCCCCTTCATCCTCCTTCCCCACAGCTTTTATTGCTGAGCGTGACATCCTATGGCGTGGAATATCTCTTGGGTCAGCTGGGGTCAGCTGTCCCGGCTGTGCCCCCTCCCAGCTTCTGGCCCACCCCTAGTCTGCTCACTGGTGGGGTGGGGTGAGGAGCAGGAAAGGCCTTGACGCTACGTAAGCACTGCTCAGCAAGAGCTAAAACGTTGGTGTGCTGTCAACACTGTTTTCATCACAAATCCAAAACATGGCCTCACACTTGCTACTATGGAGAAACTTAACTCTATCCCAGACTAAACCAATACACTGTCTTAACCTCTCATTTTGCTACATGGAAACAGAACCTACAAACTTTATTATGGTACCATGTTTCAGCTGTCCATTTCTCCTTCATCATGCATCTCCTTCATCATTTCTCCTTCTGTTACCTTTGTAAGTGTAATAATGCCGTACTAAATCGGTAAGATATAATCATACTCCATTTATATTACTAATGTTAATTGTTGTTATAACTCATTAATTTAATTGTCAGAATTCTTAAAGAAAAACCTTTATAAGGGCATTTATTGTCCATTGCGCAGTCACTTTGGAGAAGACTTTTCAATGTGTGTACCCTCCCTATGGTGCCCATGCTAAGTTACAGATAAGTGCCTAAGGTTATTTACAAGATGGTCTAAATGCTTAATTCAAAATAATTTTGAATACTGGTGTTTGTCTGAGTGGATGGAATGCTTTGCATGCATTGAAGAAGTACCATCGTGACAGGGTGCATTCTAGTGTGAAAGAAGATCCACCTTCCTTGCTGTTAGACACTAGAGGCGCATCACCTGCGCAAAGTGTTCTGTGTAACATCAGCTTTTTTTTACCCTTTGGAACAGCTCCAGTTTAACAGAAATGTTCCTGCGGTTCCAGAGAACTTAGCGCTCAGATTCTCAAACCCCCGTCCAATTATAATAGAAAAACTGAAGGCATCCAATGATCAGAGAAATCCAGCTGGAAACGAGGACTCCAGCATAAGAAGCTCTGGCATATTTTCAGTGGTATCTGAAGAGAGACTAAAATTGGCCGTCCAGCTAGCCAAAAGGGACATAAGACAAAGACATCTGGAGGAGCAAGTGAAACAGCAGGTGTTTGGAGATGTTGTCAATAAACCATTGCTGGCCCAGAAATCACAACGGCAGAAGACTGAAGTGTTTGAAAGTCCAGAAAGTAAAAATGCAGTGAAGTCTCAAACTCATTTGCAACACCGTCAGAAACTTGGTCAGCCTTCCAAAGTGGATACGACCACCTCTGGCGCTAAAGTTTATCTCTATGCACCAAATGAGAGAAAGCTAATATCAGCTGGTTCGGACTCCCCACCTACCCGTGACACAGGACCGGATCCCAAGCCAAATGTAAACAAAAAAGAAGATAAAAATGTGCAGGAAGTCCGACGGCTGCAAAAGGAATTGAGGAGCTGTGTCCAGAAAATTGAAGAACTGATTAAAAAAGGTGTAAGACTGAACAATAATTCTGTTCTATAAATGTACAGTCGTTTGTTGATTTGTTTTTCTTTGTTTTCTGGCTTGAATTAGAATCCGTGTTTAGTTCTGGATTTTTGAGACCCATTACTTTTTTCAAAGGTAGACAAAAGCTAGAGTGGCTAGCCAGTTTAAGCAATAGGAGGGGTTAATGTCTTTGGGTATTTGTGGTGAGTTCCAATCCAACCTGCAATGACAGTAAATGAGTGGTAGGCTGTTCAATAGTGTGGGTGAAAAAACATTGGTCTCTGTAGGCCTATTGACTGGATATTCAGACTGCAAAAACCAGGATCATCATTAACCGCATTCTTACCAGTGATGAGAAGGGGGGAAACAGTTGGTAAAATTCCACGTCACCAGTCTGACTCACCTAATTTATGGCTGCGCAGTAGCATGATTAATGTGCTTTCTGACACTGCTGTGGACTAACCCTGGCCAGCAGTGAAGCGCCACGCACTTGTGCTCATTTCCCCCCTGGTGGGACGAGGGAGAGAATAGGAAGATTAAAAGCAAGAAAACCTACGGGTTTAGAAAAGGATAGTTTAGTAAGGGAAGGAAAGAGGAAGAAGAAAGAGAAAAACAAAGTGATTCAAAGGCAATCACTCGCTCGTTCCCACAAGCAGACCCAATGCCCGGGCAATCTGAAGGAGCAATGGCTACCTTCTCCCCAAAAAATCAATTTGTTTTTATTGCTGAGCATGGCATGGAATATGCCTTTGATCAAGCTGGGGTCAGCTGTCCTGGTGTGTCCCCTCCCAGCTTCTTGCACACCCCCGGCCTATGCACTGGCAGGGCATGGTTGAAAGAAGAGAAAGCCTTAGTCCTGTGCAAGTACTTTAACGGTTGGACTTGATGATCTTAAAGGTCTTTTCCAACCTAAACGATTCTATGATTCTGTGATTCTACTGCTCAGCGATAGCCAGAACACTGGAGTGTTACCAACACTGTTTTGGTCACAGACCCAAAACAGGACCATACTGGCGACTGTGAAGAAAACTGACTCCGTCCCAGCCAACCCCAGTACACACTGCATCGGTTCTTTTGTAATAGCTAGCCGGAGGTTTAACCGTTCCTAACTTGGAGTGCTTTACCTGCAACTTTGTCATACAACTAAGGGGTCACATACAATTTTGTAAGCTATGTTGTGTTAAGAATATTTAGTCAAATTCTAAATAGAAGCATGATGTAGAGTTAAAATAACAAGCTTGCATTGCTACCTAAGGGAGCCATGCAAAATGCATGATGCATTGTGTATTGGTTCCGCATGAAAGAGGCTTACTGCTAAATTATGTTTGTTATGGCTTAATAGGGATTTTCACTGGTTAAATTAAGACATAAAAGTTTATATTTCATGCTTTTTAGGGACAGATAGAGAAATTTTAGATCCTGATAAAGAGCAACAAATTTGTACTAGGAGACAGAAACAAGCTGCGCGGTCAGCTCGGATGCTGTATGTACTCCAGCAACAGGTAGGAACCCACATTTTAAATTGGGATGTGCAGTAGCTAGTTTATTGTGATGAATTTGACAGAAATGAACTGAAACAAGAGAAAATCAATTGGGTTATCTCTGAACTTTCACGGCATTCTAGTTGAGATCTGAAATGTGTGACTAATGTCTCTCATGACTGGACAGAGAGATGAGCATCACCATTGGAAAAATTGGACTTTCACTCAGACTTTAAAGTGAAGATTAATTTATAGACATGGAGCTAATTCTGACTGATTTCCCCTCTCTCCCTGCTTTCTTGATAAACAGGTAAAAGAAATTCAGGATGATTTAGAGAAACTGAGCCCTCATAAAATCAAACATACTAAAAAGGTAAGCTGTAATTATTCTTCAGGCAGTAAGTAACCTATTGACAGAAAGTTTTCTAGCTAATTGGGTTTGATTGTCTAGGATACGCCTAAGCCCTCTCCAGAAGGCTGATCATCTTTGCATCTTGCATCGTTCATCTCATTCTCACGTAACTATGTCTCACTTGGTCTGATGCTGCCTTTGCTGCTTCACGCTTCTCCTCAGTTCATATCTGTCTACACTAAACTGGAGAGGAAGGCTGGCTGTTGGTCATCTGCTTTTATGTGGCTTCTAATTCCTTCTTCGTGCCACTTCCTCTTCTGAATAACAGTGTTCTACTCTTTTTAACTTCCTCTTGATGTCATTCAGCCTCCTTTCTGATTTTCTTCTCTGCCCAGCATCTTTCAGAAGAAGAGTACTGAGACCATGCCTGCTGTTTGGCCGACGTTATCCTGTTGTTCTCTTGTGCTTTTCCATCAGTTCTATTTTGTTCTGTAACAAGAACTGGAGGATGGAGAATGTTCTGTGTTTGTGCAATAGTTGCATGTTGGGGTCAGCCCATGACTACAGTCCTCTGTTGACGCAGGTAGTAGAAACATCAGAATATGTTATAACCAGGCTATTTTATCTGAAGCCAGCATGGTACCTGATATGAGTGCTGTTGTGTAGTACCTTTAGTAGATTACTTAAATGCCTGGTTTGCTTTGTCTCACAGATGGCCTCATATCCATCAGAATTATCCCATGCCCGAGTGTTTATCCGTGGAATTCTGGCAACAATTCTTTGAATAGTATCAGTATTAATAGAAACTATAGCTATCAAAGCATTTATTTTTAATTTTTCCAGTCTCAAGCAGTATCCAGATTGGCAGCAGCACACAGAGGAGCTGTACGAGCCTTGCAGGCATTTGCCAAGCAGTTTACAGATCAAACAGAGCAGCAGATTCCTACCCACTACAAGGAAATGGGCAGTCTCATTCGACAACTGTCTCTCTGTTCTGCCAAACTAGAAGTGGATTCTTCCATTTCTGACATTATCATAGACATTTTGCTGCAAGTTGAGGTAGGAAAAAACATTTTGGTTTTGCTAAGACAGAAAAGATGTAGTTCAATACGAGACTGCAAGCGATACTGTGTTTTGACGAAATGGCAGAATATGTTACTGTTGGGTTCTTTTTTTAAGGCCGTATTTTCTAATGTATAGATGTTTCTAAAGTTCCTAAGTACTGGTGGTCTGAAATAGAGTTTCATTCTAGACATGGAAGCTACCTGCTGCTGTTCTTGTTGGTGCTGTTCCTGTCTTTATTGGCTCTCCTGGTAGAATGAGGACTGGTAGTGATAGTGGTAACAAAACACCGGTTTCTGATTCTTTTGCCCTTTTCAGGACTGAAATAATTGCATTTTGTACGTTGGTGTAAGTTACATGTCTCGTGTTTTGAAATGCATGCTTTAGTCATCAGGATGAGTAACAAGCATTTGAGTCTTACACGTGGTGGTGGGTGCAGAATTGTCCAGTCAGAAGATAAAGTTGTAACTACAAGACTTACTTGAGCTCTGTGCCCTTCAAATGACTTTTGTTAGTGATATCAGATACCTTAAAACACGTTGTTGGTGTTATAGAAAAATTCTCATTCACATTTCCTGCTGCAGTTCCTACCTACAAGATTTTTTTTTAAGTAAGAACCTATGTAACCTGAGCTATTATGAAACCAGTGTTTAATTAATTTGAATAAAAGCAACTGATACAATAGCCATGATATAATTGATTTTCTTTAAAATATTGTTCTAACTGTAACCAAACTGCTTATGAGGACAGTAAAAGTACTAACTGCCTGGGAACAGGAAAGGAGGTAGAATTGTTTAAGTTTGGACTTAGCATTGGAAGAAGTGTCTGTCTCTCTTGCCATAATCTTGCGGGCATTTTTTGGTTTTTTTGAACGTGCTGTAAGCAGATAATTTGCTGGAGCCAAACATAAATACAAAAATGCAAGCTTTTTCTGTAAGATTTAAGTTAATATGAAGAAGCTTCTGCATGAACAAGCTATCAGGAATAATCAAAAAACAAAGCCACACCAAAAAAGTTCCAAGTGCTTAGGCTCTTGAAGTTGCTTCTCATTGGTACATCAGGTTTACTGAGAGAGTAATTAAAATTCTAAATATTTGGTGCAGGATTTGGATTCACTGCTGGAAAAGAAGCAAACACCCAAAAAAGTGAAGAAATGTATTTCAGCACCTCAAGGCAAATCTCCAAGGAACACCGAGATATTTCCAGCCAGAAAGCAGCTTCCATCTCCAAAAGGAGAAAGCAAACCTCTCATCTTAAAGGGGCAGCACAGACGAGAACCTAGAAAACCTCCATCTGCCAGGAGTCTCTTGACGGGTTTGTATTTTGGATTATTAAATACATTTTTATCAGTTAACTTACCATCTGCAGTTCAGTTTTGTAGTACGTTACGTACGGTCAGAAGTGTGTAACAGCCCGTGGGTAGTTACCAGACTCACGTAGCCTTGTTATGCGTTTTTTTTCAGCTGTTCCCCTGAGGTGATACACCTGCACGTTTACATGCCTCTTTATAACTATATTATTATTATCATCATGTTCTCCTATTTTTGTCCATTTCTTTTATCGTAAGCTACATTTGGATTGTTTTTCAGCAGTGTACACCTAAATGGTAGCATACAAGCTGACATTAATGGTGCATATGGAATATTTCCAAGTATCTACCTAAATAAAGCTATATAAATATATTATTTTGGGATGCAAAGTCTCTGACTGTTATCAAATCTCCAACAAAGCTGTCATTGTTTAACTGTGTACAATGAAAAGATATACTGAAGCCTTGGCTGAGAATTTCCTTGGTTTGTGCAGTTTCTCTGCTTTTGGGAGGGATGGCTGTATTTTATTCTTGCCAGTTCATTAATGTTGATGTCTTCTGCATGGTAATCACAGTTTCAGCACCTAGAGACACTTTCACTGATAGTCAAGCTGAAGACTTTCGGGTTTTGTCACTACTAGTTTGCCATGCAACCTTGGGAATCGGTTTACTTTATTGTTCTTTTACTTCATATATGAAAGAAAATGGGCTTTATTTTTTCTCACAGTATACGAGATAAATTTACCACCTGAAGTACTTTGACACCTCGTGAAAGCCATTATAGCTTAGTACATTATTATATAACGTATATTAATTGTTTTTCTTCTTTGGGGTGTCTTTCTCGTACCTCATACTGTTTTTTACTGGAACTGTAAGTGTTCCTTTCTACCCCTAGGCAAGGGCAAGAAGAATTTGATGATTATTTCCTCTTTGGCAGCCCAGACAGTATATTGACAGGCATCTAATGGTTTCCACGTGTCTTGCTGCTCAAAAAAAAATGTTTTATTATCACTGCCTAGATCTCATATGGCAATTACTACCAAAAGGTTTTCCCATCACTTTCATATATATGTGTATTTTCAAATATCTATGTACATATAAATATGTATATGCACACAAAACCCCAAATCTCCTGTTCACTGAAACAGTGTAAGAAAGACAATTTATTTAACACTTGTCGGGAAATACAAGGGTGTTTGGGGTTTTTTTTATTTTTTTTATTTGATTTTTTTTTTTTTAATGATGGTAGAGTTTAGAAGTTCATGACTAGGTATGCCTAACAAAACTGAAGCATCAAACGTAGAAATGAAGATGATTCTTGTCCCTTTGAACTTAGAGTTGAAAGTTTATTTAGTATTTTTTAAACAGATAAACATTGACATGTTGCAAATATTTCAGCAGTTCAGAAGGCAACCAGTTGTGCTCATGTATTGCACAATAAATTCCCAGAAGAAAAGGACCCACCAGAGAGAAATGCCACTTCACAAGGAAGCTTAGATGCACTGGTGAGAGCTAGAACTGTAAAAAGAGATCCCATCCTTGAAAGTGGCCCTTTGAAGAAGAAGGGCATGTTATTACCTGCAAAATCACAGGTATGGAAGTGGTAAAAGAATTTATGCTTGCTTCTGCTTGTTCTCTGGGATTTGCTGTATAATGTAAGACGCTGTCAAGCTTTGCGCTGCCTCACAATTTTTTTTATTCTGGGCTAGGAGGCATAGGGGGATAAACTATGTCATCTGCCTACGTTATTTCTAGTGGTTATTACTCTTCTATGAAATGGTTTTTGAAAGTAGTGTAATTGTTCCTTGGAAACGCACTGTACAACTAGAAACAATGAATAACAGAATTGGCAAGGAAAACTTTCACTGAAATTAGTTTCGTGTTTGAAATTAGCATGGTTATTTTTCAGCTTGCAGTTAAAGCTGAAACATTTTCCTCTTATTGGTCATCCTCTGTCATGAACTCGGCAGTAATGTTGTGCTAATGTTAGTAGGAGGATACAAGTTCGGCAGATTTACTTCATTGGTCACAGAAATTATAAAACTTCCCAGTACAAATTCTGGTTTCTGGTAAGTCCCCTTGCAACCAGCAAGAGGCTTCTGTAATGCAAACAAATGAGTTCTTTAAAGAATATTTCAAAGTGCTAAATTTTGCAAATAGTTGGTGTTTTTATTAAACGCTTTGTTTTTCCTTCCTCAGACTATCATCTTCAGCTTGAAAAAATCAGATCAGATACAGTAACATAGATGTATGCATATGCAACTTTTAGTGCTCCTGTATCTATCTGTCAGTGAGGGTCGTGAGCGGGAATGTTAAGCATTTCAGTAATTCACATGGAGGGGACTAGTCTATGTGTCCTTGTAGCAAATACAAATATGGCAAATATAGTTTCATGGCTGAAAAAATGTTAGCTTGAAAACCTTCTATTTGATTTACTGAGAGTTAACAGTCTAATTCTGAAAATGTCAGAAAGATTTTGCCCATGAAGAGCAGCATTGGAAAAAAGGGAACTGTTTGCAAAAATAATAGTTGCAAGATTAAGTGCATGTTCCGTGTACTTCCCTGTAAATCAGTTGTAAAACCTCCACATATGTCAACTGTTCAACAGAGCCAGCAGGCATGACTTCCAGACAAACTCTGAAGCAGAATGCAAAATCCTTTAAGAATTCAGCAACTGGATTATGTTTTTAATATGATTGTGTTAATTTTAAGGGAATGCCAAAAGCTTTAAAGACAAGACCGGTACAGCCTCAAGGAAAGCAGGCCCGATTTCAAGAGACAACTATAGCTTTCCAACTAAAAGAGAACAAACGACGTAAGGAGAGCAGCGCGCCCTGTGTGCCTCCAAACCCCACCTCTCTGCCTGTCTCACCTAAGCGGTATGTTCACAGCCGAATGGAAGCTGTCTTTGCCTTGCTTTCCTGTGGAAACGCTGCTCTGTCGGTACTAGTAGATAGGATGGACCTGGCCTGGCTGTCAGACCATGAAGGCAAGCGGCACAGCACAGCTTGCTGCCGGATAGTTGTGTTCTCTTCCCGCTCGGCACAAAGCGACCTCGTTTATATAGCCTGGGAAGAGCCATGGCTTTTGCGCTGTTTCCTGGGTCAGGTCCAAGTATTGCCTGGGAGTCACAGGCCAAACCGCTAGGCAGGGCACTGACACACGGCCCAGTGTGCAGAATGGGTAGTCACAGCACTGCGTTAAGAAGGTAAATATTATCCCCCCGTTCCAGAAGGACAAAACATAGATCTTTGTCCTAGCCAGTAAGAGCTTGCAGGTTTGTTTATTTTAAACTGTATTCAGCATCCTGTAGACCAGAGCTCCCCAGATTTGGTTTGCTCTGGGACTGCTGTTGGTGGCAGTTGAAGCAGGAGATCCAACCGCCGGTCCAGCTGCTGAATCTGCAGTAGGCAGTCTGCGTGGTAAGGTAAGGAGCTTGTCTCTCCGGGCAGTATTTGTGGATCGCCATGAAGTTGCCTGTTTGACAGTAGCAGAAACATAGTTGAAGATCCCAGAATTTCCCAGCTTTATGGTCTTAAAGTCAGTGTTAATTTTCTCTCTAAAGCTTTCTGCAAGTTTTCTAAACTAATACTCAGAATCACATGATTTCATTCTTCAGTTGTTAGAATGTATGTTTTGTAATCCTCTGTTACTGTTTTATTTTTGAAGATCAGCATGGCTTGAAGCAGACACTTCAGGAAGAGTGAAGGCTCTAACTGACCTTAGCAGAGAAGAAATGAAAAAAATACAAAAGTTAAGGTAATTACTTACTCTGAAGAGCTAATAAGTGGTGTCAGATCTGACAGGGTCTTCTGCCCGCTGCCACCAGTCCCCCCAAAAGTATATTTATGTGTTTGGGTTTTTTAAATCATCGTTGCCATACCAAATTTGAGAATGGCACTGTCATTTGGTTTTTTTTGTGTAGGTCGCAAAGTGCTTCTCCAACCCAGTGTGCAGACAAAGTTGAGAAGGCAGCGCGGGAGTGCTTAGAACCTGTATTAGACAGGACACAGGTAGTACAGTCAAGCTCGTGCCGCTGTTTGAAGGATGCCTTTACAGCTGTAGTCAACACCGTTCTGGACATTGGGAGAGTGTATTTCCATTTCAGCATGTGGGACCTGAATTACTGTAACAAAGTTTGGCAAAGTTGCATTAAACATTTTGGTTTGCTGCTTGTCAAGTAGATGCATTTTTAGGTTGTTTTTGAATGGTCATAAGATTATTTTAATAATTCTTATAATACCATATTTAAAGATGAAATAAATTTGGACTAGTAATATTAATGAGTAATAGTACAGAAAGCTTGCTTATCATGAGAGGATTTACGTTTTATTTAGAAGATCAATCTCTCCTTGGAAACAAACTGTCATTTGAAGGATTCTTCATTTATAAACCACCTTCTAACTCGTGCAGCTGAGAAGGCATATTCTATCTGCGTGTCAAAGAGTAAAGCTGTTTGACATTTAAGATGAATTTTTATCTTTGCCATATAGCATAATGCACCTGGGAAAGTAGAACTGATTTCCCAAACTTGGCCATTTCAACTTACATAAGCCACATCTTTAAAACAGTGTCATTGTATGGGTATGTGTGCCTTCCGAAGTACCGGTTTGTAACCATGTACAATATCAAACAATGAGAAGGCTTTTTCTATCATCTCTCTCTTCTATTTTTTGCTTGATGTGACCTTGAATGCATAAAGTTGCTTAGGAGGAAAAATTTTTTCATATAAAATAATACAGATAAATGAATGGTGGTATCATACCATAGCTACTTGGTAAAATTGGACACAACTGTGGCCTGGATCCTATGTATTTACTCAGTACTGCCTGGAGCTGCTGTGGAACTGGAAATTGGATTATTTCCATGAGCTGCTGTAAGAAATGTTTGATTTGTAAACATTCTTTCCCCCAGTTGTTTTGGTTTTTTTTTTTCTTTCTTTCTTGCATGGGCTGTGTGGGTTTTTGTTTGTTTTTAACAGCAGGTTGCAGCAAATGCAGATATTCTGAGTGAAAAGCTATTGGATGATCTTCTGGAAGATACTGCTCAGGAACTGTGGAGTGTGGAGCAGCGCGAGAGGCTCCAGAGCAAGGCTCTGCCTGTGGCTGACATTCGTAGTCTGGAGTCGATGCTGCAAAGAATGGAAGAAATTGAAGTAAGATTTTTCTCTCTTGATTGGTCTCATTCATGCCCGTTTCTTGTTTAGTGCCCATAAATTGTAGTATCTGTAAGTACCTACATTCTTAAGTGAAGCAAAGTCTGACTGCATCAGTGTATAAAACAAAAGACTTGGAAGGAGTTTGTACCTCCAGCAAAAAGTAGTGTAAAAATAGAAGAAGGTTTGCCCTAACGCTTTTATTGCTAGCTTTAGAGTTGGTAGATCTGAGTTTGCTTCCCACCTCAAGACTCTGTGGCTTAGATCATCATCATATGTGATGGGAGAATCAGTATGGTGACTATGTTGATTGTCTCACAGACTAGAAAGTGTTTGAATATTTTTTTTTTTTTTTTTTTTTTTTTT